TATATATATATATATATACCAACCCTGAAGATCTCTTACAATTGAGATGAGTAGTTTAAGTGACTTGATCCTACCTAATCACAACGACTGATATAATCCTAGAAAATAATGGTTGACACTAAGGCTAGAAACAACGCCTAGCTCAAGGCTAGAAACAATGGCTAACATAAGTTAGATTGATTTCTTAGGTTTCGCCACTTAAACTCGGAAGTATGATACTATGTCAAGGTAGAACAATTTGGATATGGGCCTACCACGACATTAGCATGCAACACTAATTTCTCTATGGGACTAGCCCACTAACTACCCTTCAAATACTACAACCTTCTAATACTCGGTTAGGGACTAAGTCATTGACTTCCTACTTTACTTGGTTGGTCACTTGTAATCAATATAATTCGACTTTATCCCTATACTATAATCACTTTATACATATATGCCTCGACCTTATTCACATATGGATACCACATTAAACTTAGAGAAGACAATTGAAAACAACCTACCCATTTAGAATCTGACTTACTTACTGAAGGGTTCAACACAATGATATTCGCACAATAGGATACTAATTTTTGAAAACATCTTTAATTAACTCTCATTTAGTTCCTATGTATCTGAACATAAACATGTATCATAATCACATGTCTAACAACTGAACAACTGTACATCATTATAGCTTAGACATCATTCAGTTTACATCTTAACCATACAACAACATAACATCATATTAGCTACCTCTTTATAGCTTAACCATCTATCAACATGCATACCAACTTTTAACTTAACAACAATAATAAACATAATGTTTAGCATATACCTCATCACATACAACATCAACATACAACTCTCTTTTGCCTTAACAACCTAATTATCATCATACATCATCAATTCACCTATCAACTTACAACATAGATATTCATCATCACATACTATTATACATACATCATGATAATCAATATAGATAAGGGAGAGCAACAGAGAATTTGTCGCTCAACATCAAAAAGCAAGGCTCAACACCTAAATCTCTGTGAGCCCAATGCTCAGCTCCAAGAGCAATGCTCAACACCTAATTATTTTTTAGCCCAATGCTTAGCTCTAGGAGCAACGCACAACACCTAATTCCTTATGAGCCTAATGCTCAGTTATAGAATAAGAACAACCACTATATCATTCAACTCCAAAACTTTAGGTTCATTTATGAAACTTATAAATCAACCACATGCAACATCAAATTCCATATATGGGCAACATTATCAACTTATTTCCAACCAAAAACAACACATGCAACCATCAAGGTATCAAGATTATCCATTTTTACTCAACTCACCCAAGAGAACATCAAAACCCCAAATTCCCTCTGTGACCAACAACTCAACCACCAACAAATCTAACAATACAACAAGAAATTAGGGATTTCAAAAGCTATCAATCAACATGCATACCAAATAGAAACAATGCAAGTTTCCCTTGCCTTGTTGATGACATGGAATCTATAAGAGGAATGGAGATGACAACGAGCTCTGTACAACCATGAGGAGAGATCCTCAACTTCACCAACTCATAATCCTCATCATCGTGCCTTTAATCAACTATAAAGAAGGAAGAAAATGGTTTTTCAACTAGAGAGGAAGAATAATAAGGGGAATGTCCACCGAGAGAAACCTCCCTCTAATCTCTCTCTATAGATTTCAAAAATTTGAGTTATGAACTCATCACTTAAAGGAACTCTTTTATACTTTCCTTTAACCTAACACACACCACAACTCCTATAAAACAAACACATCAAAACATGAGTGTTACACATTTTATCATTTTTATGAGAAAAAATGAGAATTAAAAGTAAAATCTAGCTTGAATATTATTAAATATTAATTATTATATCATTTATTCAATATTTCAATCTATAGAAAAGTACTACAATTAAATTTTATAATAAATAAATATTTTTAACCGATAAATTAGTATATTATTTTAATTATTAGTAAGTTTTTAAGAAACTATAAAAATTAATTTAAAATGCAAAATAAAAATAATACATTAAAAAACATAAACTGTTAAAAATCAAGTATATGAAACGTAAAAATAGAATAGTTTGAAATAGTCGAAAACTAATTTTTTGAGTTAATAGTTAAATCAGACTAAATTTGAAATTAAAAATAAAAAATATAAATAGAATAAGAATAATTAAATATGCGATATATGATATTAAACTATTAATATAACGCTTGACCCTGTGAGAATGATAATAAATTAAAAAAAAACTCCTATAAATGTGTCTATCTAAGAAAAACTCCTTAAACACGTTATCGTTTAAGAAAAATATGTTAAATACTTTATTAAAATAATATTATATAAATTTTTTTATATCATCATTCAATCATAAATAATAATTTTTTAACTATTGTTTTAAAAAAATCATATGTATCATTTATTGGAATTAATATTGTTTGAGACAACTAAAATAATTATGAGATGAAAGTAAAATTATATTTACAATTATTTTAATATATTTTTTGGGGTATAATAATATTTTTTAGCAAATTCATTTTTGACTGATTAACATTGTAAGAATAATTTCTTTAAGCCTCAAAGAAATATTAAAATTAAAGTCCAACTTGTATTATACAACTTTGGTTTTTTATTAAAACATGCGTCAAAGGCTAAAATAAAAATAATCCGAGGTCATATGCAAGCGGGAGCATAATTATGTGATTAACATGATAAGCAACCAAGTGAAGTGTGGAATCTCCGCCACGTCAAATCCCACCAACCAAACGCAGGGTGAGAAAAGAAGGAGCACGGTTTGAAAAAGAGGCGCGAGGCAGCGGAACCCCGCTCTTTATCCAGGACAAGATAAATGGATAGTGTTGTGTCGTTGGGCGTCTCTCTTTCTCTCCCATCTGCGAAAGCCGAGGGAGACCAAACCAAAACAAAAACATCATACATAACCCAACACACCACAACACAACACAACACCGTAGGAGTACCAATTTCATGTCTCGGATCCCGTGATTCGGATCCCCAAGACCCGTCTTCACAAACAACCTCGTACCCTATTTTCGTTGGATCCAGCGCCATGACCCGGCGATGCTCGCATTGCAGCCACAATGGACACAACTCCAGGACCTGCCCCAACCGCGGGGTTAAGATATTCGGAGTCCGATTAACCGATGGCTCCATTCGGAAGAGTGCTAGCATGGGTAATCTCACCCACTACGCCGGTTCCGGGTCGGGGCCACTCCATGCCGGGTCAAATAACCCGGGTTCTCCCGGCGAAACCCCCGATCACGCCGCCGCAGCTGATGGTTACGCCTCCGAGGACTTTGTTCCCGGCTCTTCTTCTAGCTCCAGGGAGAGAAAGAAGGGTTCGATTCCTTATCTCAGAAAATTAAAAAAACGAGTTTTTTTTTTTGGCTTGCTTGAGGGTTATTTTTTGGGGGAATTGCATGCGGGACTTGGGAGGGTTTGGGTGGTGTTTTGAGTGGTTGATTGAGTTAGGTGAGGTCAATTAACTTGGATTAATTGTGTGGGTTTTTTTTTTGGTTTGGATTGGTCTTTATTTGGACAAAAAATCTTTCTTTTTATGGGGGGTGCCACTGTGGGGAATAACTAGATAAGAAAGGTACAAGTTAACTTTAGTAGGGATTGTTTCTCTCTCTCTGTTTCTCTCTCTCTCTGTTTTTTTTTAGTGAATTGATTTTGTTTGCTGGGCTGCATAGATTTTAAATATGTGAGATATTGAGAAATGGATTGGATTTGTTTGTGAATCTCAAGTCATGTTCTATGAGCAGAGGTTGTTTGCACAGCTAACAGAAGGTTATAATATGTGAAGAGTCTGTTCAAGTTTTTACTAGTTTGACCCATGAACAAGAGCAAGACCAGGTTTCTAAGCCCTTTTAGCCTGGGAGAGTTCTTATTTACCAAGAGAGAAGTTCATTGTGCTTGATTTGTATTGGATTACTGTTTGTTGACTTTGAAAGTGTACCGTGATTGTGGGGGTATGCTATGAGCGTATATTTCACTTTTTCAGCTACATGGAAACTGCGGCCATATATTTTGAACATTTTTGTTTATAATAAAAAAGGTAGACATCAATTAGTTCAAAGAGGTTTAGGTAAGTTTACCAAGCATTGATGCCGACTCTGTACTGATTGGTACTCATGCTATATTGCTATATATCACAATATAGGGTGACAAGTACACTTGTAAGTCGCAGGGTATTTGCAAACAGGAAATTGTCCTGTATATAAATCCGCAGAGTGAGTGAGGCAAATTCAATAATACAGGTCATTCACTCTGTAAACACAGTTGATATCTTGACTAGGTGGGGTACCTACTCCCCCTCTTTCCCCCTTACTCATTCACACATAAGAAGGTTTTTGAGCCTCTAATTAGAAGAAGGTGGAGAGGGGGACTAACCCTCTTCTTAAATTGACTCCTTGATAAATCAAGGAAACACCTGGTATAAGTTTAGATATTGTAGTTTCATTTTCCATCTTAGCCTTGAAGGTGTAGAGTACACGGAGTGCAGGGGTGGGAATTGGTCAAATGACTTATCATGGGCCTTTTACAATCCCTTCCAAGTTTGGAGCTTGTTTATCAAATATTTAGATCTAACTGTATTGAGCATGCATTATTTATTGATGGTTTCTTAGTTTTTTTCATATTACACAGCACCAATAGGCCTATACACCTTAAATAATAAATTGTCTCCCTTATTTCCTCCTTTGATGGTGTGTGAGCATAAGCTGAATATGATTTTTTTTTTCTCACATTACCCGTGGCTTATTTCCTCTTCTTCAATGCATTTCTTTTTACCTTTTTTGTGGTTTTCTAACTTCCCACTAGCTAATAGTAAGGGCAGAAGGACAAGAGCCATGGGCCAAGTAAAATGTGTCAACATCCTATTTATAGGACAAATATCAATGAATGATGTAATAAAAATAGCTATTCAAAGAAGGATATGAATTTCTATTGGACTCTGATTCAATAAACACTAGAGAGTAGAACCAAAATTATACCTTTTATTGTAGAATGTCCTGTACTAAGTAAAATGTGTCAGCATCCTTATTACGGAACAAAATATCAATGAATGATGCAAAGAAATAACTATTATATGAAGGATATGAATTTCTATTGGACTCTAATACGCTGAAGTGCTGAACACTAGAGAGTAAGACCAAAACTATACCTTTTATTGTAGAATTCGAGACCGAGGTAAAAGAAGCATTGAAGGAGATGGATAATGCCAACAAAAGTTTTTTGTTGTAAGCCCTAGAAAGAAAAAAAAGGTGCATGTGGCCTTTATTTGAGCAATATATGTATGAGTATGAGGGGATCACAACAAGCGTCAGAACTCAAGGTGAGGTCACAATAGATGTTTCCTATAACTATTGGTTTGCATCAAGAATCAACCTTGAGTCTCAATATTTTTACCTTGATATTAGATGTTCTTTCTGAGCATATCCAAGAGTTGATGCCACATGCATGCTTTTTGCAAATGATGTAGTCGTAGTTGGAGATTTGAGAGAGGAATTAAATGGGAAGGGAAAGGAGACAAGCTTAGGAGGCTTATGGCTTCTATATAAGCAGAAGTAAGATACAGTATATGAAATGTAAGTGTAGCTAGAGACACATCTATCCTACTTTCAGGGTGAAACTTGATGACCATATCCCATCACCAATCACATGAAATTTTTTAGATTCATCTTACAAAAATAACAGAGAAATGGTAGGTGATGTGAACCATAGTATTCAAGTGGGGTGGATGAATTAGGAGTGCCTAAGGTGTTAATTGTGAAAAAAAGGTATTGCTCAAACTGAGAAAAATTTACCGCACAACTATAGAATCTGCTAATTGAGTGTTAGGCAATTAAAAACCAATAAGAAAATAAGCTCAATGTATTAGAGATGAGAATGTTGTGATGGATGTACATACTGGACAAGACAGGGTTAGGAATGAACGTGTTTAAGGGATAGCACTTAGTAGAAAATATATCAGAATATCCCCTTGGGTGGTTTGGAGTTTGGACATGTATGGAGAAGACCTATAGAAGTCTTAGCAGGAAGAGTGTATTAGATGGAGGTATCACTGTGTTTAGAGGTAGATGGAAACCAAGAAAAATGATAGGGAAAACTATTAAGAAGTATTGGGAAAAATCCAAGTCCCACATCGACTAGAGATTAAGCAATTAAATAGTATATAAGTGAAAAACAACCCTCACCTTACAAGTTGGTTTTGTAAGGTTGAGTTAGGCTTAATCTACTATTCTAAGATGGTATCAGAGCTATCCTAGATTCTTAAAAATGGGTCACCTACCATTCATTGATACATGCACCATAGGCATGAGAGGGTGTATTCAAGTCCCGCTAATCCTAGATCATTAAAAAATGGCCACTTACCATTTATCTACGTACCAAGTCCAATAGTGCTGGACGTGAGGGGGGTGTATTGGGAAAATCCAAGTCTCACATCGACTAGAGATTAGGCAATTAAATAGTATATAAGTGGAAAGCAACCCTCACCTTATAAGCCGGTTTTGTAAGGTTGAGTTAGACTTAATCCACTATTCTAAGAAGAAGGATTTATAGGTCAATTGTTGGTCTTACTGATATGATTCACAGTAGAACTTTATTGTGTCATTTGATCCATCTAACTGACCCTATGTAATGGGAAAGCCTTGGTTTGTTGTAAGCTTAGCTCCAGTGAGGCTTACAAGTCTTAAATGATGACAAGCTAAAAGATTTTAATTTGTGATCCATTTATGGCCAAACCTAAATTCTTATATATATATTTTTTCCAGGTTTAACTTATAATTTCTTTTATGCAGGTGTTCCATGGACTGAAGAGGAACATAGAATGTTTTTACTTGGATTGCAGAAGCTGGGCAAAGGCGATTGGCGTGGAATTGCAAGGAACTATGTTATATCAAGGACACCTACTCAAGTTGCGAGTCACGCACAGAAATATTTCATCAGGCAAAGCAATGTGTCCAGGCGGAAAAGACGGTCCAGCTTGTTTGATATTGTTGCAGATGATGTTTGTACCCTTATCTGCAAATTACATCAAAATGCATACAATAAAATTAACACCGCATAATTTGTTCTTGGCCATCGATAAGATATCCAAATGAGTTTATTTCTTTGAAGATATTGTGTGACATGTTCCAAATGTGTTAAAATTGCATAAACCTTCTGCAGCACATTGTACACGTTTACTATGCATTAATAATAACTTCTGTTAAAATTATTTATGAAATCATGGCTGTAGGGTAATTTGGAGATAAACATTGCATTTCCTCATGTGATGCTTTTCCAAATTCCATCATTAGAATTAGAAATATGTAGCTTTCCTTGTCCTTTGGCCTTGGAACCTTCTCATTTCTTGTATTTTTATTATGATGTGATTTTGCAGGCCGCCGACACTCCAATGGTACAGCAAGACTTCTTGTCAGCTAATCAGATACAGACTGAAACAGAAGGCAATAACCCCTTGCCTGCTCCTCCTCCCCTTGACGAAGAGTGTGAATCCATGGATTCCACAAACTCAAATGATGGAGAGCCTGCCCCATCAAAGCCTGAAAATACACAATCATCTTATCCAGTGTTATATCCTGCATATTATTCTCCAGTGTTCCCGTTTCCTCTGCCCTATTGGTCAGGATACAGTCCAGAACCCACCAAGAAGGAGACACATGAAGTGCTGAAGCCAACTGCAGTACATACTAAAAATCCAATCAATGTTGATGAACTGGTTGGCATATCAAAACTGAGTCTAGGGGAGTCTATTGGTGACTCTGGCCCCTCATCTCTGTCTCTAAAACTTCTTGAAGAAGGACCCTCTAGACAGTCGGCTTTTCACGCAACACCGACACCAACGTGTGGCAGTTCAAATATGAATGGCAGTGCCATCCATGCAGTTTAAGCGTGTTCAAGGAAGAGACTGTCGTGTGACTGAGCATTTTCAGTCAATGGGGGGCTCGTGAATGTGGTCTTGTGTTCATCATATATCTGTTTGTGGGGTGACCTAAATAATTTTTTCTTTGCCCATTCACAGTGATTAACCTAGTTTGTTTATTTGCTGGTAGGCAGTAGCGTCTAGGAATTACTTGGGATCAGACTAAAACTTTATGTTTGTTCAGTGATTTTATTTGTCAGGGTTATGTAAAGTTAATGTTGATTGTGCAGTTTGACAATCTACTAAGTTGTACTTCATGTTTTAAGTGCTGGATTAGAATGTTGCAAGTGCGTGATAGGGTTTGAAATTGGTTGAGATAGTTTAAAACTTACTTTGAATATGCTTGACTTATTCCTTAAATATAATGCACGAGTCTAGTCTAATTAATTTAGATGTTTATTTTTTCCAGGTCTATTGAGTTCTTTAGAGGTCTTGTTTGCCTTGAAAATTTATTTAAAGCTAACTTTATAAGTCACATTTTAAAGATGTCATATACATTCGTGTGCACAGTTACAAATACTTGCTGATATTTCCAATGTCCACTTTAGAGGTGGGTTTTAGTATTTTGGGTTTGGGTTTTTAGCCTATCTGCCAAAAAACATCAAGAATTAGACCAATGGGTGTCTGGACTTTATGTAGTTGGACCTGGGTCTTAGATTAGTATGCATATAATATTAAAATATTATTGTTAAAAAATAATCATTATTATTTTTTTTACATAAATAAGTTATCCGTTAAATCTTGATTTTTTATAAATAATGTAAAATTTGACTTCTTAATTAAATATTCTTTTTAAAAACAGTTTGACCAAAATTATGCAAGACCAGTTTGTATGGTCGCATGTTTTTAGTTTTAAAAAGTAATTTTTAAAACAACGCATTTGGTTAAAAATGAGCTTAAATGATTTTTTTAACACAATTTCAATACATTTTAATATTTATTTTCAAAATTAAGAAAAAATATTTGTGATTTTTTTTTTGTTTATAAAAAAAAATCGTCATATTTGACAATAACTTTTCGTGTCACAAGCACCACCATATTGCCACACATTTTGGTTCCCAATGTGAAGTTGTTTGACGAAGCTCAAGATCCCACAAGGCATTGTTGCAAATAAACAGAAACCATCGGGAGTTGTAAATTTATTTGATGTCTGTAAAAAAACCCCAAAGAGTCTTTGAAGGAATACCCTCCTTTTTCGAAGTTATTGCATGAGTGGTGGACCCTTATAATAGAATGTTCATTGCGACTTTTGTTAAAGGTTTGAGGGCGAGTCCGTTCAGCCAATCGCTAGTGCATAGGAGATTGGATATTTGCTTGAGAGTAGCTTGTTATATTGAGGCCCAAGTGGCAATGACTAACAAAAGGGCGACGGATAAGAGAGAAGAAACTTTGGGTATAAAATTCCTACCTAACAAGGATCATTTGAACCCACAATTGGGATGGAGCAAACTTTAATAGCTTGTCATATTGAGGCCAAAGAGGCAATGACTTAGCCTTATCTTTTTATTTTTTATTTTTATTTTTTACTACAATGATCATATTGGATAAAAAAAATAGATTAGAAATAAGTTAGAAATTGCAATGAAGACACTAAAGAGATATACTAGACGATGATCGATATTTAAAGATAATTTCTTTGTTAGTTCAATAGATGTAACTCGATTATAAATCTTGTATGTTTATGATACATGTGTGTATATATATATATATATATATATATATAGGATTGGTAACTTTATAAGGGGAAGTTGTTTCATTTAATGTTGTATTTTAAGGATTATTTTTGGATTACTATATATATCTCTTGAAATTTTCAATTATACATGTATATTAAGCTATACTCAGATGAGTTTGTTGTAAATGACCTATGTGATATTTAGTTGTTAATTGTTATACATTGTACTTGTGTAGTGATCTGCCAGGTCGTTACATTTATTATATCACTTGGTCCATTTTTTTTATAGAAAATTTTAGTTAGGCCTCTAAACTAAACAAATTTGTAATAAGGTTTTTCATCTTTTTTACATTTTTATAATCTAATTTTCAAAATTAGAAGTCTGTTTATAATTCATGAATTTGATACTCTATTTTTTATATTGTCATACCTGAACAACCACATTGGATTATTAATTCATTCATTCATCATTTGTATATTAGGTTTTAATATCTGTCCATTACAATTTTCTACTATTATAAAATTCTTATAATTTGGGAGATTAGGGATTAATACCTCATAGATATGGATGATGACATTAAATAGTAATTTGATGAGACTCTTTAGTGTAGAGATATAAAAAATATTTTGCTAAATTTCATGAATTGTATACAAATCTTTAACTTCATTGAATAAATTACAAAAATATAAAAATGATAAATGATCTAATTACATATTTTTTACTTTAGGAATTTAATTAATTATTTTTCAAAAAATTCAGATTAAATAATGTAATAACCTATAAAAAATACATTTTATAATAAATTTAGTATCTTGTTATAATTCATCTTTTTTTATTGCTTTGGAATGCTATTTTGGTCCATCTTTATAGGTGGACCACCACACTCCACTAATTTTACCCCTTAAATTAATATGAGACAGATTATTAAGGCCACCTTCCACACTACATCTTAGCATATTTTCTTCACACGGTCACCGACTACCATGCTAGAAACTATTTATCACTGTGCCTCACTATGAGAGAAAATTTTTGGTTGTGGCACCATTCCCACCCCCCTAATTTTGGTTTCATAGGTTTGATAAAAAAAAGGAAAATAAGTGGAGATTGCATACAATGACAGATGTGGGTGAAACAACTCATAACGATTGAAAAGTATGTGGATCGTCCATAGCAGCAAAAGCTCTCAAGTGTAGACTGTTAGGGGTAGCAAAACGGGTCACGATTCGCTAGCCTGCCACAACTTGGCAGACCGAGCTAGGTATCCTAGCCTGCCAACCCAACTAGCCTACCTATCCTAGTTCATCGGGCCAAATGGTCGGTTGACTTATCGACCTGTCTATTTTTTTAAAATGTTTTATTTATTTATTTATTATGTTTATGTAAGTTTAATTAAGTCACTTCAAATTTATTTTGCGTATAATATGTGATTTTTGTGTGTGGAAGATTTACTGTGCATTTGATTTATTTTATTAATGTAATTTGATTTTTTGTTGTTGCAATAAATCTATTACAAAAGTTATGAATATTATTATAATTACATATATATATATATATATATATATATATTTGTTATGTAACAAATATGAAATTTGTTGTGTAACAAATCAAATCAAATCATTTGTAATTTGAGATTTTTTTTTATTATTTAGGTACACTAATTTATGTAGGTCCTTTAGGTATTGAGAAAAAAATATATTGGAAGAGTAACTCAAAATAAATATGCAACTTTTTTCCCTTTTTGTTATTTTGTTTTTTGTTTTTTTTTGGCGGATTGTCTGATAGTTGCCAAATATGCATACAACTTTTATTTAATTTAGACAATTATTAATATATATCATGCTTTTAAATCTTATTTTTGACCACAAAGAACTTAGTCAAGAGTTAATTTTATTTTAGGATTAAATTGTTTAAATATTAAATATTTTTAATGTTTTTCCTTATTGAGATATAACATAGGGAGAAAATAATTTGGAAGCTACAAGTCTTAAAGGGGAACCATCACTCGAAACTACATAAAAGACTCGTTCCAAGGTAGAAAAATTAACTCAGAGTGATCAACAACTAGTTTTAAGCAAGACAAGTCAGAGCGCAACTCTAAATATTTTATGTATACTAACAAATTAAGAGAACATGTTTTGATTCAGATATTTTAATCTAAAAATAATTAATATATTAAATACTAAAAATTGAATCTTATATAAAAAAATAAGTAATTATTCTAAGTTGAGTTTTATAAATAAAGAAACATTTTACACAAAATATATTACAATATTAATGATTATAAAATTATATATATATATTTTATTATATATACATCAAAATTATTTATTTTATTTCTAATATAAAATTAAACCCGATTACACTTACCTTAGTGGACCAAGTTTGAAGTGTGACGAATGACAACGATGTGAATAATTTATTAACATTTTTCCTCCAAAAGAGTAAAAACGAGGAACAAACGCTGGTGTTTACATTTGGCAGTTGGGGCAGATAAAAAGCAGAGCAATCAGCAAAGCTTCGATGAACATTATTCACTCCTGAAACCAAACCCGAACTGAGTAGTTTAGTTTCATCACACGCATTGAGAACATCGCGAGAGAGAAAAAAAGAAGAAGAAGAAGAAGAAGATGGAAGGCGTGGTTGATCACTTGGCGTTCGAGAGGAACAAGGCGCAATTCGACGTCGAAGAGATGAAGATCGTTTGGGCGGGTTCTCGTCAGGCTCTTGAAATCTCTGACAAAATGGCTCGCCTCGTTGCCAGTGATCCTGTTAGTTAATTCCTCCTTCACTCATTCAATTTCCTTCTTCTGTCACTCTTTTCAAATGCTTCCGCTTCACGTCTTTGTTGCTCTTTTTTGTTCCTGTGGTGTAATGCGTGTGTACATTGGATACTTGGATGCAATTAGCATTTCGATTCGTGAAAATTTATTCATCGGGAATGGAATTATTTGTTTTACTCTTTCTTTTTTTTGTTTTGCGAATAATCGATGGACGAAATTTGAATTGTTAAGTTTCCTTAGAAAATATCAGTTTCGTGAATTGTGTAAAAATTTTGCAAAATTGGTTTTGCTCGGGAATAGTCTGTTGATGAGAAATGGATTGTTACGGCTATGCAGTTTGAGAATGCGATGGTTAGTTCATGTTTCACGTATGATATGATAAAATCCCAATGTGTGTAATTGTTTGGTGCCTGTTCTCGGCTTCCTTATGGGAGTTTGGTGATGAATGCCTGATGTTTTGTTTGGTTGTCTATTGTTACTAGGTGTTCAAAAAGGATAATAGAGCTATGCTTGATAGGAAGGAGTTGTTTAAGAACACATTGAGGAAAACAGCTTATGCGTGGAAAAGGATAATTGAGCTTCGTCTCAGTGGTTTGTCTGTCTTCTATTATTTGCGTAATTTGCAATTAGTATCTTGTTATTGTCTTAATGGGAGGTTTCTGTGTATTTTACAGAACAGGAAGCTGCTATGCTTAGATTCTTTGTGGACCAACCTGCTTTTACGGATCTGCATTGGGTACAATTCAATTAATTGTCCCGGTGGCATTCATATCTTCAATATCTTAACTATCTTAACTATAAAGATATATATGGATGAAAATTCTCATGAGATAAATCTAGCTCACAAGTTCTTTTGCAGGGAATGTTTGTTCCTGCTATTAA